GTCCGGGTTACTCAAGATGCACATTGTTCAGAGATGTACCGTCCCGCACCGTGAATACAGCTAGCAACACTGTAAAGCGCACCGAACGTTGTGCTGACGGTGGGTTTCGTATTATGTGTTTTTTACCACAACTGAGAAAAAAGGTTTATCTCAGCTTGTAACTTCACGGGGTTTTTACAAGACGGTTTCTTCCATGTACTTCTGGAAGGAAACTTGCCTGTTAAAATAAACCCTAGGATCAACAGACTGAATGGGGGGTTAAGGAGATCATAGTTTTCTGCACAAAACAAAACAAAGCACAAATCCCAAATTCTTCCATGAATACAGTCATTCAATGTAGGTCTTCGGCATTTGACAGTTTCATCCAGTGCCCAATGTTTTCACGAGAAGGAACACGGAGAATCTGGTGCTTAACTTCTTTAATGAACATCTCGTTAGTTTTATTACGGGGGCATCACGTGGCTCATTGGAATGATCAGGAACCAGACGGAGTGTAAATCTGGGCTCCATGAGGTATTACTCGCGATGAGATCTCAAACAAATGACTTCGTCTTTTCTATGGCTCAATTCTGCTACCTCTAAAGTGGACACATCTCCTATGCCTCACAGTGTTTTTAAGTCTTAGATGATAATTTGTCCCCACAAGTCGAATTCCTAGATATGAATACCTCCATCTTTAACGTTTAAAGGAGCCTTCATTGTAACTATTTTCCAGTTGGCCACACCAGTCTGCATTCCCAGCCACCGCGCACAAGGCTCCTAACTTCTCGATATCCTCACCATGAGCTCTCTCGTCTTTTCGATGAGCCCTTGTAACAAGAGGATGTGATATCTCACGGTAGATTCCATGGGAATTTGAATGAAATATCTGCACAGCTCTGTTCACCGATGCACCATTCCTAATAGCCATGGAAACAACGAACGAATGCATAAAGAGGATTTGACACACACACACGTTTTCCTTAACGCTTTGGAAACAAGGTTATTGGGTCCTTTTAATAGAGATGCAAAAGGACTGTGCTTCCCCGGAGGGAAGAGACGTGCGTGAAGAAGAGGGTGTAGTTACTCTACAGAAATTCTGGAGCCATCCGTGCCCGGAAGATGTGGAACTGGATGCTATATTGGGCTGCCTGTCCCTGAAAGATTCCCTCGGCCAAGGGGTCTCCATGATGACAGGTGGACGAGCTTGGTCACCAGTAAAAAGGCTTCTGTGTGACCTTCAGTTTGTATTTACCAAGGAGCAAGTGTCAAACCACGTGAGAAAAAGGAGGGTGCGATCAAATATCTTATTTGTTGATGATGATGATGAAGGTACCTTTTTAACAAGCGGCAAAGGCAGGGCGCAAAGTCACCCTCAGGCACCAGGTAAGGGCACCAGTCCGGCCCCTGAACAGTACTTTGTTTTAATAAAACTTTATTAGAATACATACTGTCTAGGGAAGTTTCTGTGCTCTCTGACAGACACCACGGTGTGTCCTATAATGCTGAAAACATTTACCATCTGGTCGTCTGCAAAAAAAGATAAAATAATACTGCACCATATATTTGAAAGTTGGTAACTAAATAGAACTTAAAAGTTCTCCTTACAAGAAAAGTGTGTAACTATGTGTGGTAATGGATGTAGGTACACTAACCTTGGTGCTCATTTTTGCAATACACAAAGGTACTAAATCACCATGTTGGAGACCCAAAACTAATACACTGTCATGCGTCAATTCTACCTCAGTAAAAAAATTAAAAATTAAATTTAAAAAGAGCGACTATTGGCCCTTGAACTAGATGAATACAGAAAAGCTTATTCTGGGGCGCCTGGAGGGCTCAGTCGGTTAAGCATCCAACTTTGGCTCAGGTCGTGATCTCACGGTTTATTGATTCAAGCCCTGCGTCGGGCTCTGTGTTGACAGCTCAGACCCTGGAGCTGCTTCATATTCTGCGTCCCCCTCTCTCTCTCTGCCCCTCCCTTGCTTGCTCTCTATCTCTCTGTGTCTCAAAAATAATAAACATTAAAAAAAAAAAGAGAAAAACTTATTCTGCAAACCGAAGAAGCAGACCAGAAGCAGACTTCTTAAAAGATACAAAGTTTTATTAAACAATCCTGGAATGAATAGTATTATTACATAAATTAGGCAGCAGTAAAATTCCCCTAGGGTATATATACAAATCACAGTGATTTTCATTGTGCAAGATTTGAAAAGGATTCGCGACAGGCTATTTCTGTTTCCACATGAGAAGCTGGGATGACACCCCTCACCCCCCACCCCTGGGAACCCCGTGCAAAGGCACTCCGTCTCGTGTCTGTGGCATCCCCACGGCCATCACGGGGACCCCGCGATCACGGGCGACCCGGCCAGGCAAGAGAGAAGGTACAATCGTCATGCAGAGCTGAACGGCCCGCGAGCACAAGGCTCGCGGAGCGTCAGAGGCCACAGCTCCCTTCCACTGAAACACACGCGCCATGACATTCTTCCGTCACTTTCAACACAGGTGTCCACCGTGGGACAGCCGATGAGCACGCAACAGGGCGGGTTACGCCACCACGACGTACGGGGACCGCTACCCAGCACTTCCCTTTTACTCTGAAGGTCTGTTCCCTTGGGTGCGAAAAGCAAACTGGGTAGGAGAACGCGACGCTTGGTGAAAACAGACATCCTGCCCCCCGTGGTCACCAAGACACGCACAGACACGCAGCACACACCACACAACCCACATGCATCATTCACACAAGCGTCCGAGGGCCTGTCTTCTGGCGTTTGATAAGTGGACGTCTTTCTCTGAAGGCGACGCCCTGAGAAGGTCTTCTCACACTCGGCGGACAGACCTCCAGGGAAAGAACAACTCCAGCCTCCCATTCTGGGCTCAAGTGCGACTCAAGTCCACTCCATGGACGTGTTTGTTTCTCGATGGGAAATCAATTGGCTGGAAAAGCATATCCAACCAAGTGGCTGAGAGGAGAGCTTTCAGGTCGCCGTGGGATGGGACTCAGCCTGGCGCAGCCCTGGGGAATCACGGGGTTGAGGTTAGGACACGGACCCAGATTTTCACAGTTACCGTGGTCCAAAACGTAGAGGCAACTCAGGTCATAGGTAGGAAGGGCCAATGAGTCCTACATGATTCGACTGGGGCGCTGGGGATTCTGGGGATGGGAACACGGGAGAGCTCGGTGGAGAGGAGAGAGTGAGACAGAGCAGGGCACTGGAGGCTTACGCCCGGGGGGCCAGACGGGGGTGGGAGAGGCGTGGGAGAGCATCGTGACTGTGGAGCGGGGAGCACGGATGTGGAGCTGGGCTCTCGAGGCGAGGAGGCCAGCCTCCAACCTCCGAACCCGAGATGTGCCCTTGGCCGCAGCAGACGGGGTCGGCCACACACGGTGCTCACCTGTGCTCTTCGAGAAAGGTGGGCATCGTCCAGCGCAAATGTATAATATGCGGTTACAGCCGGCTGTGACTCAACTGCCTTCTTAGTTTTGAAGGTGTGTATCCAGCCGGGCTGGTGACAATCCCCTTAGAAAGAGCCACACCCGCCCCTACATCCTTCTTGGCGTTTCCGGAGGGTGATTTGTTCATGGTGTTTGTATTTCACAAAATATTGCCAAGTCATAACGCTGCATTGAACAAAAGGAGTCCAGAGGGGTGTGTGTGTGTGTGTGTGTGTGTGTGTGTGTGTGTGTTTTCCTGGTGCGAATTTTGCAAACATTTCCATGACGTTTTTTTCAAGGATTTTTTTTTTTTTTTTTTTTGCACACGGATATTTGATCAGATCCCAGGATATTTCACAATGTCCCCACCAAGTAAGCTACTTTTCAGATATAGAGAGTGACGGTCCGGGGGTGTGGGACCCGTTTTGAGTAAATTGGTGTTTGTCTGACATCACTCTGCATAATTACAGTCCAGCCATGGGCAGTTAACACAAGGCTTGTGCTGCTTCGAATATTGAAATGGCAAAGAGTGGGCTTAACACCATTTGGTATTCCTGGAATCCCTTTGGATTTTTAATTTGTTTTGAATGGCTGCTGGAGGATGACAATGTTTTTAAAGAACCGTGTGGAGATCCAAGCGTTCCCATGTAGGGTTGTTTTTGTGTCGTGTGCATATCTGTCCAAAATTAAGGCAGCGCATTCCAGGCAATCTTGATGCTATTTTCATTCTAGACATTAAATCCGGGATGGTAAGGACGAACCCCGAAAATAGGCATATGGGTCCACGTGTCCACATAGAATGTTGTATCGTGTTCAAGAAAGGTGTTTCATTTATTTTTATTTTCCTTGAGCACGAAGCTCCGAGATAATAATAATAATAATTTATTTTTACAAGTAGAGGAGACGAGGTCCTTGTTCTCACTTGTGGGTTTACATCTGAGCGCACAGACGGACTTTGTTCATTTAGCATCGGAACACGCAATGGTGAAAACAGTTCAGACATCGCTGGATGTGTTTGTGCAAACAGGACGGGCATCGCTCAGCACCGACTGAAAGCGCCATTCTGGGGGAACACTCTTTGAAAAGAATTATCGAGTTCCTCACCAGAAAGAGTTCATTTTGCTAAATCCTGTGCTTACTCTGATCTACTCATCGGCGTGCTACTTGAAGAGCAGGTCATTGGCGGGAGAGGGGGACAGGCCGGGCGCCTTCGATTTCACGGTCTTTTAAAAGCTTTTATGTGTTCTTCACTCCACATCCAAGCACCCCCAGCCTTGCCTTCTGGACATGTGAGTGGCGCCTGGCCGGATCCGACGGAACAGGCATGGCCTCTGACACTTCACTATGTAAGAAAAACGCCTGACTTCTCCACAGGGTGACTCCTCACATCCGTATATGTGGCCTGCAGAAGCGGGCGGAGGGGACACCTAGGGGCTCGGTCAGCTGAGCATCCGACTTCGGCTCAGATCACGATCTCGTGGTTCGTGGGTTCGAGCCCCGCGTCGGGCTCTGTGCTGACAGCTCAGAGCCTGGAGCTGCTTCGGATTCTGTGTCTCCCTCTCTCTCTGCCCTTCCTCCGCTCATGCTTTGTCTCTCTCTCTCTCAAATAAATAAACATAAAAAAAAAATTAGAAGAGTGGTCCCATGCACAGAAAAGGCTTTCCCAAGCACGGTGCTGGAAAACGGTGTTTATGGCTGCCCAAGGAGGCGGATGTTTCCAGGCCAAGCATGGGAAGAAAGGAAGGGCATGGAGGGGTCTTGGAGGTCTGGGGGGGGAGGGGAGCCTTCCTGTAGCCACCCTACACTCTGGCTCCTACTAGTTAAGAACACAGACATCCCTGCAGCAGAAGGTCGTGGTTGAGCCCTGCGAGCAGCCCCACGACAGAGGTGAGTAGCTCTGTGTTTCTAGAGGACTCACGGCAAGTGCAGAACGGGCAAGCCCTTGCGGCTGGTCCAGCAAAGTTCAGAATCAGGAATCAGAAGCACAGGGCAGAAGCTAATGGATCACGGAGAGCATGGACCCTGAGGACGTCTTAGTGCATCCCGTTGTCCTGGGAAAGCCAGCATCTAGCAACGCGCTCAGTGCGGACCCTCCGCCTCTCCCTTTCACTCAGTCAGTCCCAAGGGGAAACCTTTGGAAAGAGCGAGCTTCCGGGCATCTTCACCATCAGGTGCAAAGAGGAAAAGGCAAAATCTCGGCCACAGGGAAGTCTGCCTGAGCCGCCCTACGTAGGAGACCAGAGTGTGCTGGACGCACCCAACACTCGGTGGACAGGAACGGGAGAGGCTGAGGTTTGCTACGCGAGTGCTTACCTCCTTGAGCTCATTTGTGTCTTACTTTTCCCCAAACGGAAGTTAAAAGACCACGTTTGCATGAAGGTCATGGAAAGTCGTTTGTTGGGTTTTTGCGTTTTGTTCGAGCGAGAGCCCAACGGGAGCCACCCATTACCCCCCCCACCCCCCCCACACAGAGTATAGAATTTCTAGAGCTGACGCCCTACGTATCTGGACTGCATTCCAATCCTGGCCCAACGTTAATGGCCAGTGGCGATTCTCAGACTCAAATGCAAACTGGTCTCTTCCTCTCTGCCCTTCTTGGCTTCAAGACCTAACGTCACCAGATATGACGCACTGAAGACAAGGGACATGGACCCACCACGTATTTTCTTCACAAACTAGAAAATGCATAGAAGATGATACAAAATACACACACCGTATCTGTCTTAGCTTTTGTCCCCAAGGAAACAGATTCTCCAAAGAGCAATTTGAAAAATAAAAGTCACCGGCTCTGCCAAGTATGAACATTTATATCAACGCACGATTTCTGTGCTCCACTCATACTGTCTCTTGATACACGCACACACACGCCATCTGTGGTTATAGCTGGACATGTTCCGTTCACACTCATAAAGTGAAGCCTATGAGGAAAACGGAGATATCACAGTAGGTTCATCGCACTGAGAGAGAAGATAAAATCTACAACCCAACAATTTCCCAAAATGTCCTACTGTGCAGTAGATTTCCAGTTGCTTAAATAAGGCCAAGTCCTTGACTTTCTGCGGGTCTGCAGTCTCTTTATGTACATCCAGATGTATAGAACATGTAAATGTCCTTATCACGTGGAGATGACCCTTCTTCCGGGCTAATGTGCAGCAATCTTTGTCCCCGGCAGGTTTGAATCATCCTGTTTCTCCCGTGAAAAAAGATAAAGGATTTGGTTAGTTTGCAAAATGACTGGATAAATTTTGTTAAGAATAGCAGTAACTCAAAAAGAACTCAATGATAACACGCACAGCAACAAACTTTTTCAATGAAATTCTTGCTGCAAACATCCGCAAGCATGAATTCTAAGGGCTGGGAGGTGCTTAATTAAACAAAACAACACTAAGCAGTCCTATTTTTTTTTTTTAAATGTTTAATGTTTATTTTTGAGTGAGAGAGAGAGAAACAGAGTGGGTGCGGGGGAGGGGCAGAGAGAGACGGAGACACAGAATCCGAAGCAGCTCTAGGCTCTGAGCTGTCAGCACAAGGAAAACTGGATCCTGTCTCAATGGGCTTCTCTGCAGAACCTTCCAGTTAGCCAGAAAATATTTTATTCTGAGGTCTAATAAAAGCTAAAGTGTGAGGTGTCCCCCCGACACCTGTCCTAATATCCTCTTCCATGGGCTAAAACCATGGAGAAGGCGCCTACAAAGACGGACAGTTAAGTCATACGGCTATGACTTAGCTCTAGAGCGCAGTGTTCAACCTGTGCGTGTGTCTCATCCATGGAAGACCATTCGCTCCCCAAAGAAATACCTTCCTGCATGGAGAGTCACCCCTGATCACTGAGTGCTGAAAACACCGATCTTTGGTCCGCCCTGTGTGCAAAATGACGAAGACAAGACTAAAATGTTGGGACGCCTGGGTGGCCCCGTCAGTTAAGTGTCCAACTGTTGATTTCAGCTCAGGTCATGATCTCAGGAATCAAGCCCCACGTCGGGCTCTACACTGGCGGCTCGGACCCTACTTGGCATTCTCCTGCTCTCTGCCTCTACTCTACACTCGTGTGCGGGCTCTCTCGCTCTCTCGCTCGCTCTCTCTCTCTCTCCCCCCTCCCTCTCTTTCACTCTCTCGGAATAAATAAATGAAGTTCAAAAAAAATAGGAAAATCAAGAAAAGTCAACAAGTAGATGTATCACTGGCAATATTTGGCTTCTCTTCCTGCACGTGATTTTTCTTGCCTGGATTTCATGAGAAGCAAAGCCTGATTTAAGTGGCGTACAGAAGCAGGGTCCCCCCAGAACTGGGAGTCACTGGAAGATCTTTATCCCCTTGTAAAACATCCTTCAAAACCATAAACTCAGCGATTCCACAGACATAAAGTCCTAGACCTCACAGGTTCCAAGAGATGACAGACTCAAACCCAATCATTTCAGCGTCACACGGAGCTTAGCCAATTCCATTCGAGGGGTTTACTTGTTATGACCACTTTTTAGTGAAAAGGGATGTAGAAAAACACCCTTTTGAAAACATGTGGTAGGTATTACGGGGTAGGTGGTGTGGACCTCTGGGCTTCCAGAACTAGAGAATGCAGGGATTTTTACAGAAGTAGGCGTGTCTCTCGAAGTTCAGGCACACATACCTTGCAGGGCTCGTACTCAGACGTACGGATTCTGTCCTTCAGCTCTGTCTGGCGAGAAGGGTGTGGGACACAATGCTGTCCCTGAGCCACCTTGAATAACCCTGAGTAACATGCCCGAAGCAAGGAGGCTGGCTAAACAATCAGATGCTTGGAAGGGCTGTGTCACCCTCTGCTCCCCATTGCTGAAAATAAAGACATACCTTCCACGTGTGGATTCGCGTCCTCAGAAATTCTTGAAGACTTCCAAGTCCTTGGGTGACACGGCTGGGGCCGTGTTCCAATCATTGTCGGGATACGCCTCGAAGTTGGAGGTATCGCCCTCGCCGCACAGCTTGGGCACGATGGGCGGCTGTAGGGCCCACGCAAGACACAAAGGCACAGTTAGAAAGGAGCGCGATGCCCCTGATGGGACATGTGTCCCCACGTCTACGGCTCTACGTAAAAATGGAGAGGAGGGGCGCCTGGGTGGCTTAGTCGGTTGAGCGTCCGACTTTCGCTTAGGTCATGATCTCATGGTTCGTGGGTTCGAGCCTCGCCGTCGGGCTCTGTGCTGACTGCCAGCTCAGAGCCTGGAGCCTGTTTCAGTCTGTGACTCCCTCTCTCTCTGACCCTCCCCTGCTCACGCTGTCTCTCTCTCTCTCCCCTAGAAATAAATAAAACATTAAAAAAAAAAAAAAGAAGACTGACATGGATCTAAGAAGCCAGCATGGTAGAAAGGCCTACACGTCTCTCATCCTTTGAACACAATTATTAGATAACTATCAAGTCATTCTAGGGGCACCTGGGTGGCTTAGTCGGTTAAGCGTTTGGCTTTCGCTCAGGTCATGATCTCGCGGTTCGTGGGTTCGAGCCCCGCGTCGGGCTCTGTGCTGACTGCCAGCTCAGAGCCTGGAGCCTGTTTCAGTCTGTGACTCCCTCTCTCTCTGACCCTCCCCTGCTCACGCTGTCTCTCTTTCTCTCCCCTAGAAATAAATAAAACATTAAAAAAATTTTTTTTAAAAAATGGAGAGGAACACAAAACAAATGTTAAGAAAAGCACAGAAAACCCAAGGCGTCTTTCCCTAGTTTACGAACATGGAAGCTTCAAATCTACAATCCCGCGCCATCCACCAGCCGTGCAGTGTGAGGCACGAAGAGACATAACTCACTGCCCACCACTTGCTTCTTGAAGTCTAGACCGGAGAATCACCCAGAGACTTTGGATTCTGAGGTCCAGTGGCCCAAGTATGGAAAACCCCAGAAAGAGGTCAAGGGGAGCAGGCTCAAAGTTTTAGTATCTCCGATGCCAAGCCTCATTTAAATGATAAAACGAGGTCACTGGCATCGGGTAAGAGGTCAGCCCAGGTTTGCTGCAGAGGGACGGTGAGTAGATATTTCTAGTTTTGTGGGCTGGAGAGGCTCTGTTGTGACCACTCAGCTCTGCCACTACGGGGCAAGTAGCCTCGGACAAACTGTGAATGAATGGCTGTGGCCGTGTACTAATAAAACTTTATTTATAAAAATAAACAAGGGGCAGGGGCACCCAAGTGGCTCAGTAGGTTAAGTGTCTGACTCTTCATCTCAGCTCAGGTCATGATCTCACAGTTTGTGGATTCAAGCCCTACTTCGGGCTCTGAGCTGACCAGGCAGAGCCTGCTTGGGATTTTCTCTCTCTCTCTCTCTCTGCCCATCCCCCATGCTCTCTCTCTCTCTGTCTCCTTTTTCTCTCTCTCAAAATATATAAATCAGCATGAAAATTTTTTAAAAAATAAGCAAGGGCCTTAGGAGGAAATACAGCAAGAGTACCATTCAGCAATGACAATGCACACGTTCTGACATCTACTTGGTTTTTGAACGAAAGAGTATTACTTACTGAATTGAAAAAAATAAGTCAGTTAATACAATAAAATACTTAAAAGGTAAAAGCAGCCCATTGAGACATCGGTGGTCTGGGCTGAATGTTAAGATTCTGGGTTGGGGGCCAAGCATTAGCATATTTGAGATCTCACCATTGAGTCTAACAAGTGCAAGGTTGAGAACGTCGCTATTAAGAAGTGGTGTCAAAAATATATTCAGTTTAGCGGGGGGCGCATGGATGGCTCAGGAGGTTAAGCATCAGACTTTTGGTTTCAGCACAGGTCATCATCTGATGGTTTGTGGGTTCAAGCCCCACACTGGGCTCCGTGCTGACAGGGCAAAGCCTGCTTGGGATTCTCTCTCTCTCTGCCCCTCTCCCTCTCCCTCTCTCCATCTCTCTCAAAAATAAATAACTAAACTTAAAAAAATGTGAAAAAAATACATTCAGTTTAAGGTTGCCTGTGGGGCTCAGTCAGTTAAGCATGTGACTTCAGTTCAGGTCGTGATCTCACAGTTGGTGAGTTCAAGGGCTGCTTTGGGCTGTCCGACACCCCCCCCCCGCCCCGGCCTTCTCCCTCTTGCCCTCTCCGTCTCTCTCAAAAATAAATATTAAATATATACACGTAATTATTTAACTTTATTTATTATTTAGTAGTTACTTTAATGATTCAAAATATTTAATTAATAATATATAGACACAAATATGTATAGTAACTTCAAAGAATGTTCTAGAGAATATTCCTCAATACTCTACTGCCATCACTACGATATATCCATATATGCAGGACAAACACCTGATGTGTTATGCCGTTTGCCATTCCCCAATAGACATCGGTCGGATGGGACTCATCTTGCTCATAGTTCCCATGAGAGGCGGACTTAGGCCTCAAAAAATCCGATTATAAAAACTGGGGTCTCAACCCATTACCTCTCGGTGTCTCTTTAGCGCTAAGACTTCCCCCAACACAGATGTTGGCGTTAATGACTTGAGACGCTCTGCCGTATTATACACATTAAATATGTATCAGTCACAAATAAATGAGTCACAGAGTCCGGCTGTGCCCCTTGTCGAGAACAAGTAAGGGATGCCGAGCGCACAGCCACCCGCTTACGTATGTTGTACCTTCAGCTTCCTCTGCGGGACGGCCTCCCAGTCCACAGTCCGGAACCAGCGGTGTCTTTTCACGTCCTCTGCCCCGTTCTTCAGAAGAAATGAACACCATCAGCAGACAGAATGTTGACAGGACAGGAAAGGAAATATTCCAGAAAAGGTCTACTGGACTTAGACTAGCACGTGCACAGACACACACACACACACAAAGTTTGCTATGTTCTGAGTAACTGTCCCTAGAGAAACACATGAATTCTGTGATACAGGAAGAAGCCAATGGATGTGAATATAACATTTAGCCTGTGAAATGGTTTAAAGTTTAAACTTCATATTTTTAACCTTTTCAATTTTTTATCCTCAAAAACCAAAGCTCTCGATTAGTGTATCTATGCAAGGAAAGGCTCAGATGAAAACCTCCGAGCACCTGTGTCTGAGCTCTGTGCATCCTGCCCTGCAAATTAAACTTCTCCAAGTAGACTGGCTCACCTGTGCAGGGGCAAAGGTACTTAGCAAAGAGCAGAGGCTACCCAGCCTTGTCTACCTCGATTTGGATGCTATACACCGGGGATGCAAGTGACAAATGCATCGTACATTTTAACGGTCACCAGAGCTTCGTCTGATTGGAAGCCAACACACAGAAGTTAAAGCAGATCAGCGTGAAGCCTGAGCTAATGCTCACACCCCAAAGACATTCTAGCACACACAATATGCTGCATTACATTTTCAGCAAAATGCCCACATTCAAGAATTATCTTCTTCGCTCCTTACATGAAACAAACACAAGTATCGTATCGTTATGTCATACGCCTGAAACTAACTGTGTTATGTCAATTATACCTCACAGGGGAGCAGCCTCCTTGAAAAAACAAAGGCAGTATCCGCCCCCCCCCCCCCCCCCCCCCCCCCCAATACATGTAACAGATCAAAGTGATGACGTCAAATTATAGGAACTGGAAAAAACAGAAAATACAATTNCCCCCCGCCCAATACATGTAACAGATCAAAGTGATGACGTCAAATTATAGGAACTGGAAAAAACAGAAAATACAATTTATGGGTTTGGGGGTCTTTATTTGGGTGGGGGAAATCTTCCCCAGATCCCATGATCCCGGTCGAATCCCGAGATGAATATCTGACAAATTCCAGTAGAGCTGAATTCTACAAACTAACTGGGAAGTCTTCAAACTATCAAGATCCTCAGAAGCACAGAAAGCCTGAGAAGGCGCCACGGTCAAGAAAAACCAAAGGAGACGTCACGATGAAACGCAACGTAGGGCACCGGATGTGGTTCTTCAACAGAAAGAAGACGTTAGAGGAGACTGAACAACCTCAAATGAAGTTCGGACTTTGGCTACTCACGTCAGACATGGCGCACCAGGGTAAGATGTTCAGAATGAGGGAAACTAGGCGTGGGTGGATGGACGCTCTCGGCACTATCTTTTTCAGTTTTTCTCCAAATCTAAAATTCTTCTGAAAACCAAAACTGTTTTTTTTAGAAAATCAGGGTGCAGAAGGGCAGCGAGAGCTTCTGACCCTGGAAGACCCCATCACTACGACCCCGTGGCTGCGGCATCCGACCACCACGTGACATTGCCTGGGTCTTGGTTGCTCAAGTTACAGTCACGGGCGTTGGCCTCTTATAGGTAACTCCGTCCACAATCCCTTTACAGCACTGCTAATCGGGCAATGTAAAGACATCGTACAGCGAGCAATTCCACGCAGGTGCGGTCTGGAAGCCTACCTGTGAATCTGTCATACGGTTTTCACACTACTTGTCATGAAATGGCAGTAAGAGTGGATGGGTAAGTAATCTGTTCCATGGATGTGTTCCCTGCACCAGTAACATCCCGTAAGTGAACAGTGAAGACCCCCTTGGGACATATTAGCCGGTGTCCATGAATAACGTGAAGGACAAATGAGACCTCCGTTGTGGACTGAATTGTGCCCTACACGGAAGAGATACGTTGAAGTCCTAACCCTCGTACCTGTAAGTGTGACTGTTTGGAAATAGGTCTTGGCAGATGTAAACAAGTTAAGACGAGGTCATTAGGGTGGCCCTAAATCCAATGACAGGTGTCCCTATAAAAGACAGAAAGAAGAGGAGAGACACAAACACAGAGCAGAAGTCACATGAAGACAGAGGCAGAGATGGAAGGGACGTGGCCAGAAGCCCAGGGACACTGGAGCCCCAGAAGCTGTTAGATGCAAGAAGGACCCTCCCCTGGAGCCTGAGGAGGGAGCCCAGCCCTACTCTGCCTGGATCTCAGTGGTCCTGCCCCGCCTGGATTTCCAACTTCTGGTCCTTTGTTGCATCCCCCACAGGACAAAAATACACCCACATAAACAGAGGGTCCCGAGAGCTTGCTGGAGACCAAGCCTCACACAAGGGTCTACTGTGTCCTCCAGATCACAGCAGACAAGGCCAGTGCACTGGCCCATGTTTAAGTCCCTTCATGGACACCCAGAACTAGAAAGAGCTAAGAAGACGTTCACAGATTGTCTTAGGTTTGGTGACACCATAACACAACCAAAACATGCGTATAAGACACCATACCATTTATGCAACAACAATCCCTTAAGCGTATTCCCTTCCACGTGAAAATGTGGAAATCACACACGATGTCTACCTCAAATGATTAATCTGCACACAAATGTACACACACATGTCTATCTCGCCATCCACAACAGCCAAAAGGTGGAAACAACCCCAATGCCCATCAATAGATGAATGGGGAAAGAGAACGGGGTCCATCCATGAATAGAGTATTATTCGGCCATAAAAGGAACAAAGCACCAACCCCTGCTACCCCCTGGATGGGCCCTGACGACATGATGCTCAGTGAGAGAAGCCAGACACAAAAGGTCACTTACGGTGTCATTCATTTACATGAAAGCCCAGAACGGGGGAATCCACACAGACAAGAGATAGATTAGTGGTTACCAAGGGCGGGAGAGACAGACGGATCAGATAACAACAGCAGAAGCGTATGGTTTCTTTTTGAGATGAAGGAAATTTCTTTAACACTGACTGTGGGGATGCTTGCATAACTCTGCAGATGTATGAGAAGCTACCAGACTGTTTGCTTTCAATGGGTCAGTTGCGCTGTATTTCACTCCTATGTCAGAAACGCTATTCGAACAGCAGAAATAAACCAGCCAAATACCGACATCTTTGAGATCATGGCTGAGTCATTTACTCGTCTGGAGGGAAGACGGGATGGAGTGTTGACCCAGATGGATTTTGTACAGCCAGACACCCGGATTTGAAACGTGGCCAATAATCAAACACGAATACCATGCCTTTGTTCCCATATATAGAGATGTATAGAAAGGAGTGGAGAAGGTAACGCGTATGGAAACAAACACTGACCTTCATGTTTCCGAGCCGTCTCGTTCTGTCAACGACAAGCAATTTCTTAATGAGGTCTCTATATGGGGGAAAGAGACAAAAAATATGCACATCGTGATACGGAGCGAGGCAAGTACAGTAACAATACTATCTGCCCACCGCAGTATGCATGTGGACAGAGGATTGGTCTTCATTGAGCCTCAACGTTTCCTAGCACTTGTTTCGTAACCGATCGTCAGTTTCCTCGTCACGTGTGCAGAGCTGGGTTGGGTGCACGGAGGTACAGGGCTAAGGGGAAATGCTGATTAAATCACTGTGCAGGCTGCTGGGGGGGGGCGGGGGATGCAAACCGGTGCCGCTGCTCTGGAAAGCAGTGTGGACGTTGCTTAAAAAAAATTAAAAACAGAACTAGCCTACGACCCAGCAACAGTACTACCAGGTATTCATCCAAGGGATACCGGAGTGCTGATTCAGAGGGGCACACGCACCCCAGCGTTTATAGCAGCGTTATCGACAATAGCCGCAGTATGGAAAGAGCCCAGATGTCCATCAATGGATGAAGGGATAAAGAAGACGTGGTTTATATACACAGTGGAATATTACTCGGCGATGACAAAGAATGAAATCTTGCCATTTGCAACAACATGGGTGGAACAATAAGGTATTGTGCTAAGTAGAATAAGTCAGTCAGAGAAAGGCAGATATCATAGGTTTTCACTCCTATATGGAATTTAAGAAACAAGACAGATGACCATACAGGAAGGGAAGGGAAAATAAGAGAGGAGAGAGGGAGGCAAACCAGAAGAGATTCTTAAATACAGAGAATAAACTGTATTTAAGGGGAAGGGAAATGGGTGAGGGAATGGACTAAATGGGTCATGGGCATTAAGGAGGGCACTTGTTAGGATGAGCAATGGATGTCATATGTAAGTGATGGATCAGTAAATTGTATTCCCGAAATCATTAGTATACTGTATGTTAACTAACTTGGATTTAAATTATGAAAAAATCATAATAAATTTAAAAAACATTTAAAAGGTGTGCAGAAAATGAGCTTTTTAATAGAACATGTGAAAAAATATATATTGAAAGCCCCCCACCCCCACCCCAGGCCAATCAAAAGACCCACTGCCCAGATTAAAAAACTCCACGACGCTGCCTTCGGTGACTAAGCTTTCCTGATGGGGCTTATGTCCCAGGCTCAGAAGCACACAGCCAGACTCACGCCACGTCCCAGACTCCACGCCCGGCTGGGAAGGCTGAGATCCCAAGACCCGTGGTGATAAATGTGAAGGTCCAGGGTCCCGGGGTCTCTGGGTGCCTCGCGGCTGGCTGTGAATCACCAAACATCACGCTTGTAAAACAATCTCCTATCAATGTCTGTTTTCTTCTCTTTTACTATTTAAAAGTCTACTGGCCCTATGAGTACAAATATTTAAAGCTATCTACACCTGGGTTACAAATAAATGAAGTTTTACTTAAAATATAAAATCAAGCCCTAACAAAACTGTACAGGCCCGAAAGCAAAGCGTATAGAAGGAAAGGAACCGTCCAAACATGTCCACTCACATCGCTCGATTCACAGTGGCTGAAATTCTAAATCTCATCCACTACCCTGCCTGGCTTGTCGCTAGATATTCATGCTACCAAGTTGGCACCAAGCCCCAAAGCTAGCGTGTGTTTCCTTTTCAACCATATAAGTTCCTACAAGGAATCTCAATGTCAATCCACAGAGACGTGTGTCCAGGCAAGAAGGTGACATGGTCAAATTCTGGCTGAGATGGTGAAAACCAACAGAAGACCCTGAGAAATCGGGAGTCAAAATCCTACCGTCATGGCGCCCAACGGCATGATCTGGATACCCAACAACTCCTTGGGGTCCTGCCTCTCAGCGAACTCGTTAAGATTTAGCCAATGATGGGGCGCCTGGGTGGCTTAGTCGGTTGAGCGTCCGACTTTCGCTTAGGTCATGATCTCGCGGTTTGTGGGTTCTAGCTCCTCTTTTGGCTCTGTGCTGACTGCCATCTCAGAGCCTGGAGCCTTTTTCAGAGTCTGTATCTCCCTCTCTCTCTGACCCTCCCCTGCTCACGCTGTCTCTCTCTATCCTAGAAATAAATAAAAATATTAAAAAAAAAAAAAAAAAAAGATTTAGCCAATGCTGTGAAGAAGCGAACTTTTGCTCAACCACCATGAACAGTTTTCAACTGAGCCGAGATTTCAGGTTCCTGCTCAGGAGAAGCCCCTACGTTGGGGACACAGCGGTCCCAGGGTGGGAAGGAAGAGCCTAGGGCTGCCAACATGAGGAAAATTCTAGACCAGAGGATGACAGAGAGCCACTACGGGTTCTCTCTTCAAAATAAAGTAGGAAAGAAGACAGGGAGGAAGATGATGCCAGACTTGGACTTGAGCTTCTGTTTGTCGTATTTCCTTCTTTTCCGTGAACATTGGAAGGTTACTCAGTATCTGACTGAGCTGAGCCCTTCACATCAATGACGGAAGCAATGACCTATATTTTATGCATCCTCCCTTCTCTGGGGAAATTTCTGTTGGAAGAGGTGAAGTCATTCCTTGGACGAGTCCAAGGAGGTTCTGAATAGACTAAGACCTTCAAGGGGTCTACACGAAGGGCTGATTTTGAGAATGGAAGAGACCGTCCACAATTATTTTCCCTTAAAGAACCTCACCGAGAGGAGCATGGAAGCCACACCTGTACCATGGAGTGGGTTCCACCCAAGTGCATCCCGGCCAATGTGGTGGATGTTCACAGCCCCTGGATTCACCCAGAATTCCAATGGCCTACGGTGAGCATCCACCAGTAGGTCTGCCAATGGGTGTGAGTAGATTTCATTCCAATCAAACCACGGTAGATTGTTGGCACAGACATACCTCAATTTTTTACCAAGTCCATTTGACCTAAGGGCCCTCACCTGATGGGATTTGGACCACGGGAGGGAAATTCTACACAATATTTTTCATGTCTTTCTAGAGAAAATAAGCCTTCTTGCATGCTTTATCTTTCTTGGCATCTCAGTACCTTAGTATTCACGGGACAGGGTGTTGCCCTTCCGGAGGATTATTTTCAAACGGAACTTCTTTTTCTTGCTAGTCTTTTAAAACCTGTCTAGAGGGGCACCTGGGTGGCTCAGTCGGTTCGTCTGACTTCAGCTCAGGTCATAATGTCACAGTTTGTGGGTTCAAGCCCCGCGTCAGGCTCTGTGCTGACAGCTCGGAGCCTGGAGCTGCTTCCGATTCTGTGTCTCCCTCTCTCTCTGCCCCTCCCCTGCTCACGCTCTGCCTGTCTGTGTCTCAAAAACAAACGTTAAAAAAAAAATTTCTTACACTTTTAAAAACTTTAGTTTTCCGCACGCCCGCCACAAAGTTAATGAAATGCATACCCGAGGTTACGAACACTGAACCCGTAGAAAAGTTCTTGAAGCTGGTGTTCATCACTCTAAATTTCAGCATGAAGGAAAGCATTTAAGAAATAAAATAACTGAAGCAGGACAAAAAAAGACGAACGCTGCTAAAGCCATCAACGCTTCCGCCAACCGTAAAATTAGCTAAAGGAGGAGGAGGTGGGCGGGGGTGGGAAGACCTTCTCGTCAAAGACCCAAGTGGCCCTCTCACTAAATGTGATTAACGAATGCCTTCACGGGCTGCTTGTAGAAATCACTTCCTTCAAAAGGCATAAAATCGGACCAAGATCATGAAAAGGTGAAGTATCGTTATACGAGAATAATGACCACCTTTTCCCCTTCTTGTGGGAACAGATGAGTGACCCAAAGAGTTGCGTCACGGCTCACTCGTAAAGCAAGATGCTACCCTGCAAAGTCTTATGTGCTTTCAAACTAAACACCCCGCCCCCTCCACCCCCACCATGAGGAAGGAACACTCTTTACTTACTTGACACTGAAATCCAAATGTCTGGGGAAGTCTATTTTGCCTGCAAGAATTTTTTGATAAATGCCAAATGGGTTGTCATCAAAAAACGGAGGAAACCTGTAAGAAAAATAAACATCTATTTTTAGCGGAGAGCAAGAATGGAAAAAATCCATGCCTCCTAACGATTTCCGCTCAACACAGGCAGAACACAATTTGTTTCACGTTGGGGTCCTGCCTTGCACGTGGGGGACGCCAGAATCTAGGGAGACACTGAGCATGGCTGGTTCTTTTTTTTTTTTTTTTATGTTTTATTTATTTCTAGGAGAGAGAGAGAGACAGCGTGAGCAGGGGAGGGTCAGCGAGGGACTGAAAGACTCTGAAACAGGCTCCAGGCTCTGAGCTGGCAGTCAGCACAGAGCCTGACGCGGGGCTCGAACCCACGAACCACGAGATCATGACCTAAGCGAACGTCGGACGCTCAACCGACTAAGCCACCCAGGCGTCCCTGAGCATGGCTGGTTGTAAGAGCAGAGGAATGGCCAGCCTGGAGGAGGAGGCAATGACCGTTAGAGCATGTGACTGACTGTAGTGGCTGCGTCTCTGGCATGAAAAATGTCACCCCATCATGGGGCGCCTGGATGGCTCAGTTGGTTAGCGTCTGACTTTGGCTCGGGTCATGATCTCATGGTTCGTAAATTTGAGCCTGTTTCAGATTGTCTCCCCCTCTTTCTCTGCCCCTCCCTTGCTCACGCTCTGTCTCTCTGTCTCTTCATACAAACGCCACCAGGTGGCACATAGTAGGTGTTCTGAATGGGCCAAACGGAAGGGGATGGATTATATTCTCTCCTACTTTATTTTATTTCTATTTTTATTTTTTGGTTCAGGAGTCTACACCTTCACAACAGCCAGTATCTGAATCTCTATAGTAGAGAAATTCTGTAGGTCATACTTAGGGAACGGGGGGAGATCGAGGCTGATTCCTAACTTGTACCAAGATCTAGTAAACTACAGCCAGCAGCCTGTTTTTGTCAATAAAGTTTTATTGGCAACCCGGCTGGGCTCATTTACTTAAAGATCGTTGTCTACAGCACAGTTATCAGAAGTAACATAGAAAGCAACAGATATATGTTCTCTAGGGGGCGCCTGCGTGGCTCAATCGGTTAAGCATCCGACTTCGGCTCAGGTCATAATCTCACAGTTCATGGGTTCAAACCCGACGTCGGGCTCTGTGCTGACAGCTCAGAGCCTGGAGCTGCTTCGGATTCTGTGTCTCCCTCTCTCTATCAAAAATAAATCATCAACATTAAAAAGAACTTTTTAAATTTATAAAAATAGAAAGCACCAGATGTATCTTCTCTAATCTCTTGAAATAGAAAAAAACTCTGAAATAAGGTAAATAAATATAGTTAAAACCTCAAAGAGCAAGAAGAATCCAAGAAAATCCAAAAGTCAATCAAAAAATATATGCCAGATACCTACCTTCATGCCCCAAGGCACAAGTTGTACTTTGGATATTAGCTCTTAGTTCCCAAAGCTAAGTAAGACCCTCAGCGCAAAAGTGTAACCACTAATTGGATTCTTTAGAAGTGGAACTTCTAATTAAGTGAAACGAGCAGTGGAAATAACTTATAAAACGGAGCTTTCAAAGGATATCCTGATGGAAGTTGGCAACTTTCAAAAGGCAAAATTAATTTTCCTGTTGAGTCCAAATTAACTTCTGACATTAAAAAAAAAAAAAGAAAAAAAACCTGAGGGGCACTTGGATGGCTCACTCAGTTAAGCGTCCGACTTCGGCTCAGGTCATGATCTTGCAGTTCACGGGTTCGAGCCCCGTGTCGGGCTCTGTGCTGACAGCTAGGAGCCCGGAGCCTGCATTGGATTCCTTGTCTCCCTCTCTCTGTGCCCCTCCCCCACTCACGCTCTGTCTCTGTCAAAAATAAATATTAAAAAATAATTTAAAAGTCTTAAAAATTTTAAGAAGGAAAAAAGAAAACAAAACAGAGTATAGTTGGTGGAATGGTGGTCTCCAAAAAGACACAGCCACCTTCTTACTCTGACAATCTGTGAATATGAGATTATTTGGAGAAAGAATCTTTGAAAATGTGAGCAGGTGAAGGATCTGAGATGAGCTCATCCCGGACGAGGGGGGCGCTAAATCCAACGACACGTGTCCTTGTAAGAGAGGAGGAGACGCAGACGCAGAGGAGAAGCCGCGTGAAGACGGAGGCAGAGACGGGGGGACGCGGCCGCGAGCCCGGGGACCCTGGGGCCCCAGGAGCTGGGAGAGGCGGGAAGGACCCTCCCCCGCGGCCTCAGGAGGGGGCACAGCCCCGCCCCCGCCGGATCTCAGCCTTCTGGTCTCCGGGAGTGAGAAATGATAAATTCCCATTACAAGCCGCCATGCTCTTAGCACTCTGTCTTGGCAGCTACTGATAGACAGAATAGGCCTCTGCGCGTATGTTACAGGGAAATAGGAAATGGAAACAATAAAGAACGGAACAGAAAGTACAAAAAGGGAAACCGATGGGAAAGTTGAGGGAGAAGAGGTAGGTGAGGAGGGCAAGTGGAAGACACTGAATACAGGCGAACGTGTAGCCGTAGGGGATGAAGGCGTAAAATAGCGTTTTTTGTTAAGTGACGTTTCAGGTCCTCAGGAGAACACTCTGACACGAGCAGAGGCTCTGGGTCGAGCCGGCAACGGCCGTATCTCAGAGCGGCTGGTTGTTAAAGTGTCGTAACTACCACTACTTTGACCGCTGCCGCTTCTAGAGTTATGAGCTAGCGCGTGCTGAGAACCCGCCCAGACCAGGCTCGGGGGAAGGTCTACGTACACGCAGATACCCGGCTGGTCCTCGCCATCCGACCACGCCTTCAAGTTAACAGCTCCTCAATCAACTATCCCTCATCCGCCAGATGCTCTGTCTAACCAGGTCTGGGGGAGTCTCAGTGCTTTCTTGGGTGAGGACACTGAGCCGTACGAGTTCGCCGGGGAAATGCGCACGGTTGGAAATGGCCCATTCAACACCAGGAGAAAGCGTGTCACTCACACCCACCATTTATGGACGGCATGAAACTAAGTGTTCAGGACCACGTCACCGGGAAGGTATGTCAGCAGTCGTTTCACAAGTGGAAAAAAATCATAACCAACGAGCACTAGCAGATCTTGCCCGAAGGAAGGAGACGCAGAGAGGATGTGGATCTGAGCGCGAGCCTGCTCGACGCCCGTGGAACGCGCCCTCAGAAAGCCCTCAAGTTTCCATCTTTAATGCAACAGCATGTTTCTGGCTCTGAAACGAGCCCTGAAGGCTTGTTCTGTGGAACCGGGCATTGTAATGAACGTGTACTAATCTTCGGTCCCAGCGCCGTGTAGACGGAGCCTGCTGCTGGGCACAAAGGAAGGTCAAGAGTTTCCTCTCCCGACTCCCCGCCAAGTTCAGCGCTTTTTCCATCGTCTCTGACTGATGCGTTTTCCATGTCCGTTCTCGCCACCCACACCTTCCAGTAGAAATGGCTGTCCAGAAACGGGCGCCATCACTCTGCTAACGTCGTGGCCCCATCGCCCTCTTAGAAAACCACAGGGGCGCTGGCCTTGGAAAGGGGATGCTTTGGACGTGGGTTCGAGGAAAGAGTTTTTCAAAAAGCAAAGAGTTTTTGCGGTGAAGACAGAAAGGGGAGGCGCGACCAGCTCACCGTTCTTTTGACTTCTTCCTCAAAGACGCGGCACTTGCGTAGAACGCATAAAATGTGCGTCCTTCAGAAGAAAGGTCAAAGGCCACGAGCTGGGCTGTGCCGTGGCTGGGGTGGCCATGATGGGGTCCCAGGGAACCCAGGGGCTCCTCAAGACTCTTTGACAAGGTTTGTGATGGCCTTTTTTCCAACGGGAGATCTGCATGTGGATGCATTTTTTTTTTCATACAACTCTGGTGACCTGGTTGGTGTGCGTGTGGGGGTTGGGGTGCGGGGGGAGGGAAATAGCTCCAGCTCCTGCCAGGGAAATACATCGTGGGCAAGACAGGGAGAAGCTGGAGGCGACAATGAGGAAATTCGGAACTGGCCCAGGGGCGCCCGGGGGGCTCAGTCGGTTGAGCATCCGACTTCGGCTCAGGTCATGATCTCGCGGTTCGTGGGTTCGAGCCCCGCGTCGGGCTCTGTGCTGACAGCTCCGACCCTGGAGCCTGTTTCGGATTCTGTGTCTCCCCCCTCTCTCTCTGGCCCTCCGCCATTTACTCTCTCTTTCTCTCTCAAGAAGAAATAAAAAATAAAAATACACTGTCAATGATATTCTATTTTAATAATGGAAACTTTCTATTTTCTAATATCTTAATACAACATATTCTAATATTTGAATGGATTATGTCCTAATATTTTAACCATCCCAAAAATTATTTTTAGATAATAATCCTAATATATTCAAATACGTCCTCGTATTCTATCCTATTTTTTTATTTTATTCTATTTAATTCTGATAATTTTCTTATGATCTAAAAATTTTCCAAAATTGTATTTGCTAATAATATTTCCCACCATTATATTCTCTATGTAGAACGTATGCTAACAGAATGTACCGAGTAATACAAAGGAAACGTTATTCATGACCCGCATTTATTAAGCACTGGATGCCAAGGTTCGTTTATCGTTAAGCAATGCTGACCTCTAGTGGTCAATCATATTAAGGAAGATTCTGTGCTGCAGGTGGGCTGGGGGAATCTGATGGATTCGGGCGTATAAATATTCACGACCACTGTAGCTTCTTGACGGAAGAACCCTATGTGTGATTCATATTGACCTTCTGGTCTCCCTGGAACTTCACCGGCTGGGTGTCTATTAAGAAATTCGGTTCTGTGTGATTTGCTAGAGACGTCTGAGTGAAGAGTAATGGAAAATACAGAAGACCAGGTAGATGATAGACAGATGGATGATGGATAATTGATGGATGGATGGATGGATGGATAGATATGATGGATGGATAGATAGATATGATGGATAGATGATGGATGGATGGATGGATGGATGGATGGATGGATGGAGAGAGAGATAGGTATGATGGATGGATGGATGGATGGATGGATGGATGGATGGATGGATGGATGGATGAATTGATGGATGGATGGATAAATCGATGGATCGACGGAGAGATACATAGATATGATGGATGGGTGGATAGACAGACAGATGGACAGAAAGTATGGATGGACAGGTAGACAGACAGACAGGCAGAAAGACAGGTAGGTAGGCAGATAGAAGATAGACATAGCTGGGTAGATGATGGATGGATGAATGGATGGAGAGATAGATATGATGGATGGATGGATGGATGGATCAATGGATCTATGGAGAGATAGATATGATAGACAGATAAATGGATAGATAGATAGATAGATAGATAGATAGATAGATAGACAGATAGATAGACAGACAAACAGACGTACAGAAAGTCTGGATAGACGACAGGTAGACAGACAGGCAGAAAGACAGATAGGTAGGCAGATAGAAGATAGATATAGCTAGGTAGATGATGGATGGATGGATGAATGGATGGCGAGAGAGATAGATATGATGGATGGATGGATGGATGGATCAATGGATCTATGGAGAGATAGATAGATATGATAGATGGATAAATGGATAGATAGATAGACAGACAGATGTACAGAAAGTCTGGATAGACAGGTAGACAGACAGGCAGAAAGACAGGTAGGTAGGCAGACAGAAGACAGACATAGATGGAGAGATGGATAGATAGATGGATTGACGGATGGACAGACAAAGAGAGAGGCAGGTAGATATAGACAAGTTGATTAAATACACAGGGTAGACAAACAGAATGGACAAATAGATATACAGATAGATGTACAAGTGAAAACAGATGACAGACACATGATAGATAAAAGATCATAAATATCTGGGTAGACAGTTGATAAATACAGAGATAACAGACACACAAATACAGGCTTTCACAGATTCCACCCTGGCCACACCCTCAGTGCAGAAATACGCCTGTTTCCATCATTTTTCTCAACCGAAGGGGAAGGTTTCCGGGCAGTAAGCTCAGGTCTTGCCCTACAGGGAAATCAGGTGTGCAACGGGGCCGGGTTTTGGTTCCACTGGGAGTGACATCGCAGGTGTGCTAGCCTCCCCGGCAGGAAAGAAGCAAGCTAAACACAGAAGACAGAGGGCGGGGCCCACACAGGCCAGGGCCCCCGGCCAGACCCGGGCACCCCACGTACCAGATGCCCACCGTCCGCACCATCAGAGAAGAGCTCTCCTCCCCGGGACCAGGGGGAACCCCCACGTCCCTCGTGTCTAAACCTCTAAGCGTGGGAGGCTTGCTCTACGCTTCTGCAAGAGGAGCCTCCCACCCGCGTCATGCCCAAGCCAGACTGGGGTCTTCCTTCACGGCGATGCCCGGACAACACGTCCAACAACTCTGGCCACCTGGACGAGGAGACAGCATGGCCTTGCAAACCTCATGCGAGGCAAGCACGGGCCCACTTCCTGCTTCCCGGCACGGGTGCTCCTCCTTCCTAACGTCCTAAGCTCTGCGCGGACTGATTCACCTTCATCCCAAACGCACGCCACGTACCCAGCTCCGCGCACTGCTCCAAAGGGGTCCGTGCGCAAGACTGAATATTATGTTCACGGGAGACGGGAATCCGCAGGACACGGCACAGAGGTCCCAACGGCTGGCGCTTCGGGTGTGGGTGTTTGGTCTTACGAGCGGGCAGTACCCGCGGGTCCCCAAGGCCACGCTGGCACTGACCGGGACACAGCAGAAAGCACCCTTCTAGAAGCATGAAGGGGAGGCACCAAGCAGACACACTCATTGTCCGCGGAAGCTGTACTCACCCCGAGTGCATCTCAAATATCAGGATCCCAAGCGCCCACCAGTCCACGGCTCTTCCGTGGCCCTTGCTCTGGATGACTTCAGGGGCCAGGTACTCGGGCGTGCCACACAGGGTCCACGTCCTGGGGACAGAAGAGAAGACGCACAGGAAAGTTAGCCGTGCCCGGCGAAGGCACGCATCTCCAGAGGACTCAATGTGACAGTGTCTTCGCCGTCACAGCGATGGACACACGCGCTGGACGGAGATGCGGACATTGTCCAACACGACTTGCTCTGACACACGCCCATTTACCCCCCGACAGAAGCGAAAATACACCCTCCGTGTGACCGCCATCCACTACTGCTGTCGCTTCACCCTTATGACTCAAAACGCAAAAAAGCCACATTCCCGGTTTTCCTAGGAAATCGTACAGTAAACAGGTTGGAGAATTCATTCATCTCCTCCCGTCCTGGGCTCCCGTCAAGAGCCCCGTGTCCGTTCCAGCAAAAACCTACTTCCTCCTCGTGGAAGAAATGCCAACTCAGTGCTGAGTGTCGCTCTTTCCACCTGCTCCCGAAAAGATCTGACGTGTGTTCATGATTCTGTGGGTTCGAGGTCGTGTTACTCTCACCGGTGGCTTCCAGACATCGTGACGTTAAGGGACCCTGGGATATTTGGGGTTTAAATGGAGCGGGGGGGGGGCGCTTGGGGAAGGATTTTCTCCGTAGAGGAGGTGAGTGAGGCCAAAACGTTAGCTTCTAGCCCCACGCGGAGGAGAGTTGGCTGGAAGTAACGGATGCTTGGGACCCCGTCCCCCGAAATTGGACCCAGAGCAGACAGAGGAGCTACTGGTGGTCACGTTTGCTGGGTCTGATTCTGGGCACCCCGTCCCGGTGCTGCCTCACCTCTGCCTTTTTCAGAACAGGTGGGAAAGGACGCCTTCTCCTCCTGTCCTGAGAAGAGAATTCTCCTTGTACTTAAAACGAGCAACAGTCAGTTAAGCTCCCAACTCCAGCTCAGGTCATGATCTCTCGGTTTGTCGGTTCGAGCCCCGCGTCGGGCTCTGTGCTGACAGCTCGGAGCCTGGAGCTGCTTCGGATTCTGTGTCTCCCTCTCTCTCTGACCCTCCCCTGCTCATGATCTGTCTCTCTCTCAAAAATAAACGTTAAAAACTGAACAAAGAAACAAAGCAAAAAAAACGAGCGACGATGTTTAGTTAAAATTGAGAGACGAAGGCGTCGTGAGATGGGATGCACAATGCGATGACTGCTTCGTCAGGCTGTTTTACATCTGAGATTTGCTGAGCAGAGCGATCTCATAGGCCGTCACCATCTAACGAAGACGGTAACCGGGTGAGGCGATCGGATGTGTCCGGAAATAACCGTGAGTGTGGCAATCACGTCCCAGTGTGTATTAAACGACACTACATGCCTTTCCAAAATAAGACACTACATGCCTTTCCAAAAACCATACTGTACGATGTAAATATGTACGATTTTTATGTGTCCACCTCACCTCATTAAATGGGGGGGACGGAGTTGAAGACATAGACACGCACAGAGGGAACACGGCAGGGGACACACAATGGCTTCTACGCCCCAGGAACCGCGTCAGGACCCTGTCCTGTGGCCAGAAGCCAGGACGGGGGCTCAGAACAGACCCTAGTCTTGGGAGCCTTTGTGCGACTTGCGCCCCGTGAACACCTTCATTCCAGAGCTCTGGGCTTCCAGAACCTCGGGAGAATGTCGCCCGAGGCCCCCGGTCGTGGTGCTGTTAGGGCGGCCGCGGGGAAGGCACGCACGCCCAGACCCTTAACACCGGAAAGCGATCACCTCGGGATCCAGCCGTTAGGCTCCCAGCATAAGCCCACAGGAAACGAAAGCAGGGAGTTGAAGACACATGTGCACACCCGTGTTCACACCAGCGTGACGCACGGGGGCCCCAACACCGTGTTGGGACGAAGAACATGGGGTCCGTTCACACACGGGAATACAACGCAGCCCGAAAAAGCGCAGGACGCTGCAACGCACATGAACCTTGAGGACACGATGCTGAAAGAAGCCAGATGCCAAACGACGAGTCCTGTGCGACGTGACGTGTATGGGGCCCCCGGCGCAGGCAATGCAGACGCACGGAGAGCAGCTGGTGGCTCCGGGGGCCGGGGGCGGGGGCTGCGGAGTAAGCCCATTAACGGGGACCCAGCTCCCCTCGGGGGGGGGGGAGGCGAAGTTCCGCAGATGGCTGGTGGGGACGGTGGCACAGCATGACGAATGCATCCAACAGACTGACGTGTGCACTTAAAACCGGTTAAGACGGTCGATTCTATCGTCTTTATTCTGCAACGGTTTTTATACGAAGCACACAGAGGCAGAGGAGCCCAAAGGGACCCAGGCGTCCTGTGTGGAGGCGAGATGCAAACAGAAGCGTCTGATGAACGACGTCCAGGTCAGGTTCGCAGGCCGTGCACACCCGTGGACGCCGGGCTCCCAGGCTGGACCCCGCCCAAGGCGCCTCACGCCAGCGGGCAATCGGGTCCTGAGCTCCTAGTAAGAGCGGGCGGAGGCGGCCGCGTTACGGACGCGTCAGCTGCAGCGTCTGCACTTGCACGTGGAAAGGGGCGTCCCCTCCTGGCTCCGTCCTCGAGGAAGGGACACAGGTGGAATTGCTAAGTTGCCTCGGGTAGCCTGACACCTGGTTAGGGGAAGAGCTTCCTGGAAAAGCTTCGAGTGCTTCCTGGACGTACAGAGAGGCATCGACTGCCACAGAGAGTTCGGAATCAACTGCCACAGAGAGTTCGGACCCCAGTCAGCATGCAAAGACGAGACCGGGCTGCAACTTACGCAGAGAACAGAAGTCTCCAGGCTGTGAATTATCCACGCGCCCGGTCTTACCTCCTTCCGCTCGCTCGGCTCTGGGACAGAAGGGAAAGGGACGCGTCAGGTTCTCGGCTTGCGCACGGCGATCGGTTCCACGTTAACGGGAGAAAAACGAGACTCTGCAAAGTGCACGTCGACTTGCTCGTGTGTTAGCGTCTCGCGTTGCCTGCCCGGCAGCTGCGCAGAGGTGAAGTCTGTTCCTTCCCAAAGTCTCCTGAAGCCCAGAGCCGGGGGATGTGATCTTATTGGGAAACAGGGTCTTGCAGGTGCCCTCAAGTTAAGATGACGTCATATTCGATGAAGATGGACTAAGTCAGTAACGGGCGTCCTCATACTGGGGGAGAGACGGAGAGATCTCTTTCCACCGTGTGGGGACGCAGTGAGTAGGCGGCCGTCACTCGATCAGATTAGGATCCTCCTCTCCTGCCCCCATTTAACCTGAAGTACCTCCTAAAAGCACTATATCCGAACGTAGTCACCTCGGAGGGTTGAAGCTTCAATATCTGAATTTTCGACGGACACAATTCAGTCCGTAGTAATGGTGGTGATGATTAGCGAATCCATCCGTGCTTAACAAACAATCCTAAGTAGTAGGAATGATTCTCGCTTCACAGATGAGTAAAGCCATGAATGTGAAATACCCTCAGGGCGCTTGGGCGCCTGTGCGGCTCAGGTCATGATCTCACGGTTCGTGGGTTCGAGCCCCGCGTCAGGCTCTGTGTTGACAGCTCGGAGCCTGGAGCTGCTTCCGATTCTGTGTCTCTCTCTCTCTCTCTGCCCCTCCCCCGCTCACACTCTGTCTCTCTCTCAAAAATAAAAACATTAAAAAACTTGTTCAATTAAAAAAAATATTGCAGATGAGTCTCTAGAAGGTTCTACATCTACTGTGCTGATCCCTTCCAGGTTCAGGCAAAAATCATGACTGTCGAATCCTGAACCATAAGGGAGAGACTTCATCAAGGAAATCAAAAACAAACGGGAAGGGGGGAGAAATGTTTCTGCGATCTACGCGCCCGGGCCTGAAAAATGAAGGTCTTTGCAAAAGCAATAGATCAAATGGTAACGAGGCCTCGTTCCCCGAACTCCACATCTTAAGTAAATTAATTGCTTGACGTTATGTACGAACCCGCCATCGCACCATCATCCGTTTAGGCTTAGGCGGACGTGATGGATGAACTGCGGCGGAACACGGCTCGCCGAATTTATAATCAGGCGACTTAGTGAAACATAGCAAGGCTGATGGTTGGAATCAGACCTGCAAATAAAAGGCCTTAAAAACAAAAAGCCGGGGGAGTGTATGTACTTTATACCATGTGCTGCCAGTAGTGGGCAGCACCAAAGTCATAAACGAATGATAACGTGTTTTGTGGTTTATTTTGTATTTTATTCATTTTTGAGACAGACAGAGCATGAGTGGGGGAGGGGCAGAGACAGAGGGAGACACAGAATCTGAAACAGGCTCCAGGCTCCGAGCTGTCAGCACAGTCCCAACGCGGGGCTCGAACCCACGAACCGTGAGATCGTGACCTGAGTCGAAGTCGGACACTCAACCGACTGAGCCCCCCAGGCGCCCCTGATAATGTGTTAATAATAAGGTCTTCCTTCACAGGTATGGAAGCCACCTCATTTTTATGGACCCAGCCCATCGGGGCGCCTGGGGGGCTCAGTCAGTTAAGGGTCCAACTTCGGCTCAAGTCACGATCTTACGGTTCGTGGGTTCGAGCCCCGCGTCGGGCTCTGTGCTGACAGCTCGGAGCCTGGGGCCTGTTTCAGATTCTGTGTCTCTCTCTCTCTGATCCTCACACTGTCTCTCTCTGTCTCTCAGAAATAAATAAACATTAAAATTTTAATAAATAAATAAAACCCATCAGAGAGGTGAGTTATCTGCTGTAAAGCTGCTTCCCATGAAAATCCAGGTTCTCTCTATGCAGAGGTTTCCATAAAGTGAGGAATATAATTATCACTTTAGCCAACCCGCCGTCATCAAGAAATGCAACAATACAGGTATATTCCTTTCTTTTTTCTTTTTATAAATGTTTTATTAGTAAGTAATCTCTACACCCAACATGGGGCTCAAACTCACAACCTTGATATCAGGACCTGCTTAAGCGACTGAGGCAGCCAGGCGCCCCTAAGCTTAAACTTAAAAAACCAATAGTCAATGCAGTTGCTGAGAAAGTTTCCAGTATTTTTGGAAGGTCTGGCCGTATGCATCTATTTTCCTAACTGTAAGCGTTATAGATGTTAAGCAAAGAGCAGGTATTTCCAATGAAATTGTAGTCCCCTAACTGGGAGACAGCATACACATAAAATGCCCGGAGGTGGGGGTGGGGGTTCAAAAACTTAGGGGCAAAAATTCTCGTAAATGCTCTCAACTGTTTGCACGGATTTTAGGTTTGAATAATCGTATTTGAGATGTAGTGGGTTAAATATGCCGTCTCAGGACTGGCTCTGCCTGCTTAACAGGAATACAGTTTGAAAGGTGGACTGATTAGAAAGATCCCAAATTTGAGGGGCGCCTGGATTGCTCAGTTGGTGAAGCGTCCAACTTCGGCTCAGGTCATGGTCTCACGGTCTGTGGGTTCGAGCCCCACGTCGGGCTCCGTGCTGACAGCTCGGAGCCTGGAGCTGCTTCGGATTCTGTGTCTCCCTCTCTCTCTGACCCTCCCCTGCTCACCCTCTGTCTCTCTGTCAAAAATATTCAATAAACATGTAAAAAAATTTTTTAGAAAGAAAGAAATGGTGCGGCTGGGAGAAGGGAGAGCTGTCAGTGCTCAGTGGGTGCACGTGTATGATTCTGATAAAACGAATAACTCACTCGTGAGACACCCCCTCGCGCCGCTCAAGGGTAGAAGAACGCAAGCCCTAACCGGTGTTGGCGAGGATGTGGAGAAAGGAGAAGGTTTGAGCCCTGCTGGCGGGAATGCGAACTGGCACAGCCGGCGTGGAAGAGGGCACGGAGGCTCCTCGAAACGTCAAGAACGGGACTACCCTACGACCCAGCAACGTCACCTCTGGGTATTCGTCCGGCGTAGATGACTACACCACCTGCGATCGGGAGCGCACGCCGGGCTCTGCGCAGCGTTACTGCCAGCAGACGAAGGGACGGAGAGAACGGGGTGTGTGGACCGCAGGGGGGTGTTCCTCAGCCTTGAGGAAGAGGGACACCCCGCGGAGGGACAGTGGCGGCCTCCAGGCGCGGCGACGGGCGGGGAGACACGGGGACGATGCTCACTTACTTGTCGACCAGTTTCTTGGCAAACCCGAAGTCGGTGAGCTTGATGTGGCCGTCGCGGTCCAGCAGAATGTTTTCCGGCTTCAGGTCCCTGTAGACGATCTCCTTGGAGTGCAGGTACTCGATGGCGCAGACGATCTCCGCTGAGTAGAAGAGCCCGGTGCTGCCGGAGAAGCGGCCTCGGTTGCGCAGGTAGCTGAAGAGCTCGCCGCCGGGCACGAACTCCATGAGCATGTAGAGGAAGCGCTCGTCGTGACACGTCCAGAACCTGTGGAGGGGGGGGTACGCAGGGTCAGAGCCGCGCCGGGGCCACACGCGGGGGGCGGGCGGGGACAGGCAGGGAGATGCCCTGTGGACAGGGGCACGCAGCGGGCTCCATCGGTTAAGACTCCAGCTCTTGATTTCACTCAGGTCGTGATCGCAGGGTTCGTGCGTTGGACGCCTGCATCAGGCTCTGCACCACTTGTTTGTTTCACATTCTCTCTCTCTCTCTCTCTCTCTCTCTGTCCCATTCTCTCTGCCCCTTCCCCACGCGCTCTCTCTAAATAAATAATAAGCTTATGAAAAATAAGATGCCGCACACCTGGATGTTGGGATACTCTTACAGAGGAAGAGATGCTCAGATATGCATCTGGGCAGATGTTAAAATCTGCTACAGATGGATGTTACCTACGGCTCGGGGAGATGTGAGGTCATGCGTACGGACACATTCTGGGTGCTGTATACACACACTTCAGATGCCAATTCCAAGTGCGGCTTCTCACCTGTGCTTCTGACTGACCCGCTAGGGATGAGAGGTTCCTGAGCCCCCTCCTCGGGCTGCTCTGGGAGCTCAGGGCTCAGGGGAAACATGTTACTCGGTACATAACCGGCTTATGATAAAGATCTAGAAGTCAGGAACGGCCAGAAGGAAGATATTTGGGGGTCTAGTTGTGGGGAAGTGTCCACACTCGCTCCAGGTGAGCCACTCTCGTCCAAATCTCCCCAAGTTCACCAACTCAGAAGCTCCCAAACCCCGTCCTTCTGGGATTCCCTGGAGGCTTCACTGAGTAGGCGAGATTGATTACATCACTGGCCGTCGGAGATCAACTCAAACCCCAGCCCCTCGCCCCTCCCCGGAGATGGGGGTGGGTCTGAGAAGCCCAACCCTCGAATTACAGGATTAGTTTCCCTGGCAACCAGCCCTCTGCCCTGGGGGGCCGGGCGTTCAGCAAAAGTCACCTCATTCACATAACAAAGGCCACCTTTGTCTTGGCGCTTAGGAAATTCCAAGGGTTTTAGGATCTCTGGCCGGGAACAAAGGGCAAATATCTATTTCTTTCATAAATCCCAAGATCGCAGGGACACAGGACACACACAAACGACGGACGGGGGAGCATCACACTGGTGTATAGGGATATACAGATACACATTTTCCCCACGCAGATCAATAAAATCCAACAAAGCCTCAATAACAATCCTAACAAAGTCGCTATATATTCAAGTGTGCTGTCAACTCTACCCAGAAACACAATTATCGTGGGTCATGGGCACCGGTGAGAGAGAGGTAACGCTTTTCAACAAAAGTACTCCACAAAGAGTCAAAAAACGAGGCTTATGGAACAATAATATAATTCCTGAGGGCCCTGGCTCTTCTGTCTTTCTCCAAGTCCCATAAATATTATAAGGGACAAAAATCTACGGGCACATCTTTCTTTCAAATCTCCATTACTAAGTCTTTTCTTGTATAGAGAGAATGTGTAACGGAGGGGGTTATTAATAAGGAGGCACAATATTCAAATACATACTAACAGTTACTATTCCGAAACAATTTACAAGCATTTGGTCATCCTTTGGGGCTTGTGGGTGGAGAGGTTGAGCCTTGGTGGCCACAAAGGACTTAAAATGTGAGCCTAAAAACAGAGACCCAGAATTAATCATGGCGGCCAATTCGCAGGTTAATTAATTCCCATTCATTGCAGGGCTCTGCCCCTTGTGTGGAGGCTAAAAAACAATGAAAATGCAAGGGCAAAAAATAAGTAAGAGGGTTTATCACGAGTGGGATGAGAAAAGGAAGCATTTCTGGATCCAAAATTCAGTATGGAGGGGCATCTGGGTGGCTCAGTCGGTTGGATGTCCGTCCAACTCTTGATCTCAGCTCAGGTCATCATCTCATGGTTCTTGAGTTCAAAGCCCGTGTGGGGCTCTGCCCGTGTGTGTCTGTGTGTATGCTTTAAGGATCCGTTATCAGACTGTCCCTGTGATTACCTGGCGATGAGGGAGGGTGGGAAGAAGAGACAAAGGAAAGGCCTGCACAAGGGAAGCGGAAACAGAAAAGACACCAAGAGAAAACGCTTAAGCTCCTCCACAAACGGGAAGGAGATACACTTCGAAAATGCAGCCAAGCAGTTAAAGCAGGTACATAAACATATGTGTACACGCGTGTTCCCAGTAGCATTAACATGCAGTATGAGAGCCAGAACATGGAAGCAACACCAAGTGTTGATGGATGGATGGATGGATGGATGGATGGATGGAAGAACAGATGAGTTGGTGGGTGGATAGATGGATGGTATATAGATGGATAACAGGTGGATGGATGGACCATAGATGGATGGATGATGGATGGATGGATAATGGGTGGATGGATGTATCATGGATGGGTGGATGGATGGATGATGGATGGATGGATAATGGACGGATAGGTGGATCATGGGTGGGTGGATGGATGATGGATGGATGGATAATGGATGGATGAATGGATGGATGGATACAAGGATAGGTGGATGGATGGATACAAGGATGGATGGATGGATAGATGAGGGGATGATGGATGGATGATTGGGTGGATGGATGGATAGATGAGTGGATGGATGGATGGATAGATGGATGGATGGATGGATGAATGGATGGATGGATGATTGGACGGACGGATGGATGGATGGATGATTGGATGGATGGGTGGATGGATGATTGGATGGATGGATGGATGGATGGATGGATAGATGATGGATGGGTAATGGATGGATGGATGGCAGATGGGTGGATGGGTGAATGAATGGATGATGGATGGATGGATAGGTAGATGGAGGATGGATAATGGGTGGAATGATGGATCATGGGTGGGTGGATGGATGGATAATGGACAGATAGATGGATCATGGGTGGATGGATGCATGGATGAATGAATAATGAATGGATGGATGGTTGGATGGATGGATGGATGATTGGATGGATGGATGATTGGATGGGTGGGTGGATAATGGACGGATAGATGGATCATGGGTGGATGGATGCATGGATGAATGAATAATGAATGGATGGATGGTTGGATGGATGGATGGATGATTGGATGGATGGATGATTGGATGGGTGGGTGGATAATGGACGGATAGGTGGATCATGGGTGGATGGATGCATGGATGAATGAATAATGAATGGATGGATGGTTGGATGGATGGATGGATGATTGGATGGATGGATGATTGGATGGGTGGGTGGATAATGGACGGATAGGTGGATCATGGGTGGGTGGATGGATGCATGCATACACAGCATGTGGTCCATGCACCCAGTAGACTATGACTTAGCCTTGAAAAACGATGTACTGCATCAGCCACAACATGGATGGACGCTGAGTACGTGGTCATTGACGTATGCCAGGCACAGAGGGGCAAATTCTGCCTGATTCCATCTCTACAGGGTCCCCGAAGGCATCACATCCATAGAGATGAGAGTAGATGGTAGAACCATGGGCTGGGGATGGGGGCGGAAGCTAGTGTTTAAAATAGGGCAGAGTCTCAGTTTCGGGAGATGGAAAGTTCTAGAGATGATGGTGGGGATGTCTGCACAGCAGTGAGAATGTGCTAGAGGCCACTGAGTCGTGCACTTAAAAATACGCAAAATGGCCAATTTTATGTTGAGGTGCATTTTAGTACAGGAAGAAATCAGCATCCTGAAATGTATTCAAGAGAACGTGTGAATCTATGAGGAGTAAAGACAGCCTGACTCCGACCGCAGCTCAGAGCAACACCTTCAACCTTTCACACCGACCAACCCGCTGTCTTTCCTTTGCAGAGCCTGCGGCCCGGCTGCCACCCGGGGGTGTTGTACCTGATCGTGATGGCTGTCGTCAGGTCTCCAGACGCTAACATAAAGCTGGGCTTCCGCTATTAAAACAGGAAAACCAGGGGCGCCTGGGTGGTTCAGTCTGTTAAGAGTCAGATTTTGGCTCAGGTCATGATCTCGTGGTGTGTGGGTTCGAGCCCCACATCGGGCTCCGTGCTGACAGCCTGCTTCTGATTCTGTGCCTCCCTCTCTCTCTCTCTGCCCCTCCCCTGCTGAGGCCCGGTCTGTCTCCTTCGAAAGCAAACAAACTTTAAAAAAGAAAAAAAAGACAAGAAAACCAGACACTGCCCATGGGTGTCACCTTATCTATTCTCGCTCACGTCTCAGTACAACCTGAGCCTCTGGAAAGTTCCTTCTACTTTCCGGACCGGGCTCTATGGCCACCAGCCCTGCCCCGGGGCATCATAGGCTTGCTCCATCCCCCACCCCAGCGTCTCCTCCGGCTCCGTCCCCCAAGGGTCCCCTGCCTGCCCTCGGTGGCTCCGTCTGACGGTCCCTGGAAGGCAGCTGAGCGCCTCCTCTGTGCAGAGAGCTGCTGCGTCCTGTTCGTCTGCCAAGTGGCATCTACGGCATCTCCTTCCCACGCTGCTCAGCGAGTGCCCACCCCACACACACCGCTGTGCCAGCCGGACACGGGGTGACCCCCGCCTGGGGCTTCCCGGAACTCCAGCCCCTCCGCAAGGGCACAGGGAGCCCAGAGCTCCCCCTGCAGATGCCCAAGGCTATTGTGATGATGGTCATATTGTGACCATGGTGCTCCTGGCCTCGGTGGGTGCAGATGGGGGATGCTGCTCAGCACCCACAGGGTGCCCCACGTCAAGAGGCATCCGCCCATGGATGTGAGCGGCGCCCAGGCCGAGAGACCCAGAAGCAGCAACGTCAGCAGAACAAAGTCCAAGCCCCAGAACCAGTAGCAGGAAGAGGTAGAGACAGGGCGCCTGGGGGGCTCAGTCGGTTAAGCGTCCATTCTTGATTTCGGCTCAGGTCACGCTCTCACGGTTCATGAGTTCGAGGCTCCGTGCTGACAGCGCGGAGCCTGCTTGGGATTCTCCCTCGCCCTTTCTCTCGGCCCTTCTCCGCTCACACTCTCGCTGTAAAATAAATGAACATTTAAAAAGAAAAGGCAAAGACGGACGGAGCCCCTCGGCCGTACAATGCACT